CCTCTCGTACCCATCCAACCAACCATCCGTCCATCCATCTCTGTCCTTCTTCCTCCTCTCTTACGTTCCACTCGCGCAATATCTCGAGCTCCACTCTCACCTAACTATGTTACCGCGGGCTGAGTATAACCCCCGGCCAGTTGTTCCACGTTGTTTCGCGTTTTCGAGCGTTGTCCGAAGCTCCGAGGAGAGAGCAGGCACGGCTGGAGGCGCCGCTGTAATGAAATACCGGGCCGATCTCCGCGACCGACGCTCGCCAGGCCGGAGGGTTGATCGGAACCACACCGAATTATCGCAGACTTTTCACTGAAACGGCCTAGGATTTACTATAAAGGATGAAACTAGAAAAGTTTCGGAGACAGAGAATGAGGCGTTTCATCCGAGAACCACCAATGGGCTCGGCAATAAGGCAACCTGATAGACCCGTGCCTTAGATACCGAGATGAATGGAAGAGGTATCAGCGGATACTTATATACAAATTTACGCGGAATTGACTAGGAGCGGGAAAAACCTAACCACAGCTAACTCTCTTTGAAAACTGCGCCGTCATCGGCCATGTGTTCCGCGATCATCGTCCATCGACTGGAAACGCGCGCTTCCAACGATATACTCGATTTAATTTCCGGTATCGTTAGGAGCACGATTGCTCCGCTTTTTTTTGCGCGATACGGTTACCGCGCTCTCGTTCCCTCCCGTTTCGGTTGCAGTTTCACGAATGCAAAGATTTTCTCGTTTACGGACAGCTTGATTTTTCATCGCGACCTCTCGGCCTCTGTTTTTCCAGTGAACTTTTCGCTGCGGAATACGACGAATAGAAGCGTACGTCGAAATTTACTACTTTACATTTTGAAGATTTTTTTATCTATGTTTACGTATTTGGAATATACTTCGCGTATTATTTTTTTCAATTATGTTTTGTTTTGTAGAAGTATAAATTGTATTAATAATGCATTTGTATAGCACGCGTGATCAGCTAACTTTGATGTAAACATGAATAGCGTAGTTGATAAAACATTCTCGAGCAGAATCTTAATGTACTGTATTCGCAGCTGTACTTTTAAAACTCGTTGGAAAACACAAATGTCCTACTAACAGGGTTTATTAACAATCGCGCTAGGAATAACTCCCATTTCATCGAATATGTTCCTTCAGCCCCGAGAAAAAACTCTATCTATAGTTCGTGACGGACCACGATATCCGAAATCGTCGTTGTAGCAGTGCTCTTAGCAGGGAATCACGTCGACACTCCATTGGAACGAGAAGCATCGCGGCCAAGGGGCCGTAATGGGCCACTATTTCTGTCGCGGCAACTGGAACTTCTTCCCCGCTTTACGGAACATTGCTCCCGGCGAATTGTTTCCAGCAGGGGGCCGTTATCGTTCTGCCTCCCTCTGCGCCTCCCGGTCACCCGGATTCACCCACCGCGACTAAACTCTCTCTCTTTCCTCCTGGCCGAACGTAATATCTGCCCTTTCGCCATTCGTCCAATTCCTTCGACTCGTTCGCGAAACAATTTACCGTGCCGCAAGCCGAGGCGAACCGGAGTTGGCGCAGCCTCTTTTACAAACGATTAGAAACCGGTATCGTTCGCATTACCATTTCATCGTGGATACTTCCGCGAGTTATGGTCTCTGGGGATTGCCACCCCCCCCTCCGGCCGTGTACCCGTAATTCCTTCGGACATTGTCTCCCTTTTTTTCTCCCTCAGACGTACCGTGCTCGGTCCTTCTATTTTTCCAACGCGACCCGATTCGTTCGGAACGAACGAGCGACATCGGTTTGCTTTATCGACGGTCGGCCCATTAAACCTGGGTGTAACTTATTCCGCGATCGTGCACTGTACACGCTCCTTTGCTACCCGCCGGACCGGAAGGGGCTAAACGGTCGCTCACTCGAACTACGATCAATTACGTAAACGTAATCGCTGCATAATTCGGGGAGACAATGCACCGGAACACGGCCGAACTCCCGGTAAATTGAATTCGATCATCTGATCGGTTCGTTGAGTCTTGCACGGAAATAATAATGCTCGTTATGTCTTTATTATACGGGGATACCGATAACATCGATTTATCACGCCATGGCGAGTTGAACGGAACGCTGTCGAGACCTTTCGTAACGCACTCGTTTATTGCGTGTAGTACTTTGTCCTCGTGATTGAGATTTGTTGATCTTATCGTCATCGTATTATTCTTATTAGTGTCTTACGAATGCATTGCAGAAACTTCTGAAAATATAGGTTTGATTAGTTTATGAAAACTGGAATGAAAATTTTCTTTTCGATTTAGTTCAAATACATTTCTTGCTTACTCCGCCTAGTATCCTTTCTAATCTAAACATAGTGCATTCTTCTCTCAACGCGAACACGTTCATCGCTTAACTAAGGACACGTATAAGCGAGTTACAAACAATCTACACTTAAAACGCACACTCTAATTATCAACAATCAACGAACAATTTATCATATTCGATACTCAAGCTCGTCTAACAAAGAGGATTAAAAACAGTAAACAAATCTACAAACCAGATTTGAACATGACTATCTCGAAATCCCCGGTCCTCTCTATCATCCACTCGTAACCTCCCACCAACGCGGTCTCTCCAACTAATTCTCTTTCGCAACGACGCTCTTCCGTCGCTGATACTTCCGCCTCCGGTCTTAATGATCCCAAAGGTGAGCGCCGCGTTGCGTTGAAGGCGTCTCCGCGAAAGATGCACGACGCCCTTGCTCACCCGTACTCGCCGGTAAACGAGCTCTTCGCGTTTTAGTAGGAAATTATGCGCGCTCTTCCGCGTCCGTTTACGAGCCGGGGCAGGAAGTTGCTGCCACGAAAGGTAGGAAAAAGCTCGGAAGCCTCGCCTCCGGTCGAGACCGAAGAATACGGACGAAAAAGGGACGAATATTAGCGGGGCTTGCGGAAGTGAGACGACTGTTGCCAGATTTTCCGTCTTCATCCCTTCCCGTCAGTGGAAAGCCAGTTGGATATGGTCCACGACGAGAAATTCACGACCCCTTCCGTTCGCTGGCCGACAATCCCCGCAACAACCCCTGTAATGGCTCTGCCGAGATCCTTTCGCCGGTACGCGACGGCTTTTCCTTAATTTGGTGCGTCGTAAAACACGCGACTTGCGCAGCCCCTTCTTCACTTCTCATCCACAGCCACAGTACAAACCCCTCGTCCGGCGAGCGGATATGTTTTATCGTGGCGTGTAAAACGCGCACTCCACGAATTACTTTATATATAAACGGCACGGCAGGTACGCGGAAGGTTTATGGCGGCGAGTTTTTCCGTCTGGCGCGCAAACACACGCATACACGCGTATGCGCGTGCCGGATTGTCGTCGTTGCCTCCACTTGGGGGTTTTGCCGGGACGCCTTGAATATCTTGTACCGTGACGTGACGTTTAAATATCTCCTTTCTCCCCGCGCGCGTGTTGTTAATTCGCAGCCCCCGGGCGAGTTTCTTGTCGTTGCTCGCGCGACCAGCGCCACCCTGTCCCTGGGCATTTCTCTGCGCGCGAGAGATACCGGTGGGAGAGCATTGTTATAATTGAACGCGGATTTTACGACGGCGGTCACAATTAAATCTTGATTATTCGCAGTTGCTGTTCGTTTATTCCGTTCTTCGGCGTAATGGAGTCACTACGCGCTGTTACGTTTCGAGCCGTAACATCCGGCTCGCAGCGCGAATTTAACGCCGGGCTATTCGAGCCGGTAATCAACGCTAGAGTCGCGCTCGGCGATGCTCGGGTAAAGGCTGCGATTGAATACACGTTGATAGGGTAATGAGTATCGCATTGCCGGTATGTTCTTTGGGTATTAAACGCGGGTTATGGAGAAATCGCAGGGGACTTGGTTTATTGCAGTGCAATGGTTGAGTGCAACTGTGGTACTCTAATTGATTATTTTTAGTTCTTTTTTCAAGTGCTGTGAGTGTCCCTTTAAATTTGAAGTAGCTTCTTTCAATCATTCAACGGTACAACGTCAATGATCTTACTAAATTTATCCTACTCCCTTGTAATATCGAAATATTAAGTAACCAATGAAGACAGGAAATCTCGTGAGCTGCCTTTTAAATACTAGTACTTGCAAAATTTCAATTTACTTTTTATGTTTAGAAATTGTAGTTTAGAATAATGTATAAGTAACCTTAACAATCCAATGAAACAGATTCGTATATTAAAGTTCTTCTAAGTGGGACATACGATTTTACGCAATATTCAGACTACGAAAGTCTCAGCGTCCAGTAGAGGACATCGTATTTCCTGGCAAATTGAACCTTCACAATGTTTCCCATGATCATCGAGGAACAAACTCGAACGGAGTCAGTGGTATGCCAGCAGAATCTTTTTCGCGCGGGGAATGAGATAAAAGGAAAGGGCCATGAAGGGGAGGAGAAGGGTCAGAAGAACAGACAGACTTCTCGAGTATCTCCGAGAAGGGACGGTGAATGAAAGGAAAGAGGATGAGAGGTCGGGGAGGAATCCTTGGACGGGAATCTTTGTCCTCGAGAATCCCGGTTCATAGTTTTCCTTCGCTCGATTTCCCCCAAACCATCCTTGTCGTCTTTACTCTTTTGTGGATACACTTTGTCTCGCAGAAAATATCCTAACGACATATTCCTCCTCCCATTGTTACTCAATCTATGTAAAAGCTACACGAGTCACTTTTGCTCTGCGTAAACCGCACCCGATCGCATTCTTCGTACTGGATTACCTATCAGAAGTACCGAGATACCTCGAATTTCCTTTGTGAAAGGTTATTCGAATGGGATTACGAAAATGATATAATAAGATAAAAGAGCAAGAAATACAAGGAAAATTGAAACACGATACCGTACGAGGTTTCAGTATATTCATATAATACTCGTTATTGTTAAATTTAATCTATATAAAATGTCACGTGGAAAGCTAACCGGGATATTCGTTTTTGTTTCAGGTCTTAATCCCGCCGAGGAGAGGCATGTGAGTATGAAACAATTGAATCATTGTACAGCATACAATCACGGTTTCATGAATTGGCAATAACACTCTATAACAACAAATAGGATTGGATTGTTCCAAATTCGCGTGTAAATAGCGGAACCGTTGCGCGTTGAAGCCGGAGATCCGCTTCGATCCGACGTGAAAACGGTGAATTTCAACCGATGAAACGATAATCGCATCTAGAAGCCGTTGAACTTCCTTCCGGTGGCGCAATTCACGTCCGGGGTAGCGGCGCGTAGCATAAATACGTGCTGCAAGTAGCAGCTTAATTCCGAATATCATCTTGCTATCTTGATTTCCGTCTACTGACTTAATCCACTCGCCTAACAATCATCGCGCAATGTGTTTGAGCCTCTTTTGCAGGTACTCGATAAGCGATTGGCTACTATTAATGCAGTTATTTATATTCTTTGATAAAATTGCGAAAAATTGTGTATTTTATTCTAGAAATCAACGTTTATAATTCTGTTCAACAGAGCACAGCTCTTTAACCCAGTTTTTTTTATATGAATGCGCGCAAATATTGTTTGATTAATTAAGTACCATAATTATGTTGACCTATGTTCCTAGTTGGGGATTTCTAATAAAAATTGTTTAAAAAGTAATACTTACAAATTTTGTTGTTACAATTTCGATAACAGTACCACTAATCATTGTGTTATCGACTTACCTTCAAATACTCTTAGCAAGTACAATTTGGACAACGTAGGCGTTGAATGCTGGAATCTTCGAACGTCAAAAGCCAACGGTTATTTTCGAAATCGAAATAATTCCATATTTATTTTAGAAATCTATATTAATCTGTTTATTCCTTCATCCGAGTAACATTCTATTTAACTAATTTCTAAATCGAAAAAGAAAGAAATCGGTATACCAAGTCAGCTGCTCCCGAACAATACAATCGAGCAGAAACCTATCGCTGTTTCACACCCCGCCATAAAAACACGTCGAGCAACGGGCGCGCGTAAAATCCCGCCGTTTCCCGGGTTTTACGGGGTCGCGTGTTGCCTGAAAAAAAATCTCTCACCTCGGCGCCAGATTACGGTGATTGACTGACGGGAAAATCGGAAGGAGACGCGCGGCCGATTCACTCGGCGAACGACTTGGACCGCGTTGGATTTCATCTCATAAAAGAAATTAGACCCCGTTTGGCTCGCGCGTCCACTGAATAGCGCGAGAACCGGTGCGGCGGGGAGGGTGGACGGGGTGCAAATAAAATCGGGGGATCGTTGCGATCGGGTACGAGAGGAACGAAGGAAGAGAGGCGACCGAACACAAGGAAAGGGAGGGAGTGGGAAGAGAAAAAAGGGAAAAAACAGGTGAACCGAGGT